CACAAAAACATCAAAATTAGCTCAGAAACAGTACTATATAACATTTTAGACACATTCTAGACAGTTTATCAGCTAAAAAAAGTTAATTTTGGGGTAAGTTACTCTTTAAATAGTCTTAAATGTTACGATTATTTTTACTTTTCCAAATTAAACAAACATAAAAATGGGTATGAAAAAGTTGAAAATAAATTGGAATATATTTTTGGTGGCTATTACTGAATACTTGATAATGCAGACAAAAAAAATCTACAGGGTGAAATATGTTTGTGCTTAAACCATAAACATTTCTGTATAAATAAAAGCAAGCAATTATTTATGCACAGCATCTCAATAATGTGTCAATAGCAGGAAATAATTTGAGAGCGTTTTATTTATTTATAATACATTCTAGTGGTACAAACATGCCTTTTATTTTCACAATAAAACCAGCACACATTTCTGTGAGTTTGAGCTTTTATTTTCACTTGAGATTATGTAACAGCTCTGTTTCTGAGAACATGTTTATCCTTGGATTATCAGAGTAGCACTGTGTGCCAGCTTAGTCCAAATAACCCAACTCACCTTATTAAAATTCGGATACAGCAAATCTTTAAAATCAAATCACATATCTGTTGGATTTGTAATTCCACTCTTAAGAAAGGAGATGAACTTTGAGTATAATTACAAGRTAACTCCGGTGTTTTGCAGAATACAGAAATCACTCTGAACTTTTAGTTTGTCCTCTCCAAACTCAGTAACGCTGCATCCATCTCCGTTCTAAAGACAAATAGTGTGTCCAGCCGACAGCACAACTGGCCCTGGGAGGAAACTTGGGGGAGCGGGGAGGGGGGGACTTGTAGCTACATTAGTGGCATAGCTGAGCTCTCAATATGAGAAAGCTGACACACTGGACTTGGACTCTCAATTCATGGTGTTGATCACAAAAAATTGGTTCAGTCTTGGTTTGACAAGATTTTACGTTTCTCTCTCTCTCCTTGTTGTTGTTGATCTTCTCTTCAGCGAAGTTGTGTGTAAAGAGASTAGCTGTTTTAGGGTCGGCTCCAGCAGCATTTTCTCCTCAGGTTGACGAGTGAAGAAACWCCATGCACGCTGGTGCATTTAGTCCTTTTCTGGAACCAGCTTCAGCACTTTACCAATGGCAATAGTTTTGCCTGGAGACATAAAGAGATGTGAAAATAAAGTTATAGTCAACCACACACACAGAGGTTTGAAATGGCATTTATCTTAGACGCATTATGAAGAGTCTTAGTGTGGCAAGTTACTGAAAAAAAGAAAGAATTGTAATGTGAATTTTAATATGTTAATATTGATTTTTTAGCTAATCAATATTAATGCAACAGGACTAAAGAACAAATGTGCCCATCTACATTTTAAACGTGAACTCTAGATTCAGTTTCAAATGTAAAAGCTTGTTGCTGAAATGGGTGCAAATCAAGCTGAAGTGGGTATYATGTAGGGCAGGATTTTTCAAAGTGGGAGCCGCCCGGGGGCCTCAGAGAGCTGGATGGAAAATTTGAAAAATAAATAAATAAAAT